CTGCCCATTGTGGGAAGAAGCGGGAAGGGGGGAGGGGTGGCGAGGTCTCTGTCCACACAGATGCCATCCCAGCCTGGGTGACTCAGGGTTGACTACCAGGATCCTGTTCTGGGTTGAGTAAGTTGGGGCTGCTCCTTACTGGTGAGATGTGATCAACATTACTGAATGGGATCAACTCAACCCCTGTGACTCCAGGATGAATAAACCTCAGGGAACGGGATTAGGAGTAGGATTGGACCCTGGAGGTCCTCTAGTCCAGCCCCTTGCTCAAGCAGGAGAACCTGTGCCGTTTCAGGCCAGTGACTGTCCAGTCTCTTTTTAAAAACTCCCAGTGTTGGGGCACACAGGTGGCAAGGAGTTCCACCGCTTTAAGGAAGCTTCTCCGTAATTCCAGTTTGCTCCTCTCCTTGATCAGCTTCCATCCGTTGTTTCTCCTCCGGCAGCATCTCAGGTGCTCTGGAGAATAATCTGACCCCTCCCCCCTCTATCTACACGCCTGCCCAGGTGGCCAAAGCAGAGGGAAGCTGACGCCGCCACCAAGGAGGGGCAGGAGAGAACATCCAGGCCCTGCGCAGCCCCACTGGCCAGGTTTTTTAAAAGGGGGGCGGAGAAATAAAAGAGCCTGGGCTATTCATTCGTTTATCAAACGCATCTCTTGCGCCCCACCATCAGGCAGCTTACAGAGAATTCAAAAAGAGAATTCTAAAAATACCCCCACATATCACAACAATAGCAATAAAACTCCACCAAGAAACAAACAGTGAATGGAGAATAAAAGCTGGAGACATCGCATGAAAGGAGGCCCTCTGGGAAAAAAAGCTTTCAAAACTTTGGCCAGGCTCTCTTTCATGGTATGTGTGTGTGTGTGTGTCTCTCTGTGTGTGTGTCTTCGTGCGCTAACAGAAAAGCAGTGCCTGCCCACTTCACACACCCCGAGTGTCCCCAGCTGTTTCTCCCTGTCCACCACCTGATCAGCCAGGCTGGTTCTGCAGGGATTTGGGCACCAAACCAGTTTTACAGCTCAAACTCCACGTCTTAAGTTCCTGGCTCTGCCACCCGGGGCTCCTTGCTCCAATGGCCGGGAGCCCACAGAATGCCTGACCGGGGGGGGGGGCAGTTTGTGCCCGGAGGACTCTCAGGCTGGACACTGGGGGTCCCGGCTGCCTCTGCCAGGCCCTCTGTAGGTGGAGGGGGGCTCAGAGAGGGGAGCTAGGCATGAAGCAGCCAGCAGAGACCCCAGACCATAATACGGCAGCCTCCCCTTCAGAAGCCCCACCTGGGACTCTGAGCTGGAGGAAAAGGGGAGCACAGGTGCTTCAGGCCAGGCGCTTCCTCTGAGGTCCAAACCCTCGTGACGAAGAGGCCCCCTTTCTTCCCCCCTGGGGGCCACACAGCCCCACATCTGCCGGGGCTCCTGCGGGAGGGACGTCCTGGCAGAAAGGCCTCCAGAGAATCTCCATCCTCCAGGCCACAGTCGGCCCAAAGGTGCTTCTTCCAAAAGGCAACTGGAATTTCTCCATATTTTTCCTTGAAAACATTTCACTTCTCACCCAAGACGCTTCTCCAGTTCTTCAGAACCGAAGGGCTCCCAGGAAGGAGACAAAGAAAGTCCAGCTGCCTTTGGAGAAGCCCATCATGGCAGCAAGATGGTCCCCCGGTTGGTCAACAGCAGCCGCTTTCTGGGAGGGGGGCAGTTTCCTCCACACCCACCCAACAACGCACGACTTTTGCAACCCTCTTGGCAACTCCCGGCCGAGGCAGCCAGAGAGCCGGGCAGAGGGGGAGTTCCAGGCCGAGGCTGCTCTTCAGCTCTGCAACTCCGATGCGGGAGGGGTTGGCGGCAGCCGCTGCTCATTCCTCACCCGCAGGCCTCGCCCTGCCCTTCCTAGCCGGGAAGCTCCCCCTCCCCTCTCTGACTCACTCCGGGAAATCTCCCCGGGCGGCACTGGCAGAAGAACCTGCTGAGGCCACGTTGTGCCACCTTAGCTGGAGGGCGAAGGTGGCAAGTAGCAATAGCAATAGCAGTTAGACTTACATACCGCTTCATAGGGCTTTCAGCCCCCCCTAAGCGGTTTACAGAGTCAGCATATCCCCCCCCCAGTCTGGGTCCTCATTTTACCTGCCTCGGAAGGATGGAAGGCTGAGTCAACCCTGAGCCTTGGATGGATAGATAATAGATAAGATAGCTATAGAAGATAGATAGATAGAAGATAGATAGGTAGATAGATGATAGATAGATAGATAGATAGATAGATAGATAGATAGATA